CATGTTTCAATTACATGTGATCCTGCCTTAAAAAACCTTACCTGATGCTTGAATTGTTCTTTTTGGACTGTAGATGAAAATTTAGCTTATATTAAAAAAGCAATCATTAAAGATGCATTGTGTAACTTTTCTGGTGGACAGTTCGTCAGATGCTTTCCTCATGCAGATGTTATTGCTTTGTCTGGAATGTTTCACAGTATGGCATTAAACTTTTTTATCTTCATGGAGACCAAACCAGATTAAGTTATGGGTTAGATCTGTGGAGAGGCAACCACGCTCTTAGTCAGAATGCCTGTTTTTCTAGGTATTAGTGAACTAACACTACCACCTGTAGTTGGATAAATATAAGGTAGAGTTGCAATGACATATAAAAACAAGAAAATAATAGACCCCGAAACAAAAGTTACACAGTACACCTTAAAGGCAATGTATCAGATTTTTTCCCATGTATTCAAGTAAAGTTTGTATTGTATTATATAATATAAGATTCTCAAAATGCATAAGGTAAGTGAGGAATAACTTTGGGCCACTAGTTTTGTTTTTTTTGTTTTTTTTACACTTGTAAGATAGCAAAAATCAGGTACAGTGAATTTAAGCATGCAGATATATTGTCAATGATACATTTTCATTTTTATATAATGATAAATATGTTAAAGGTGCATTATGTAACTTTTCTCATCAAATGCCTTTCTCCTTTGTCTGGAATGTTTCATAGTATGGTATTAAACAGACGTGGGACCAAATTGTCATTTTGCAAGTCTCATGTAAGTCTCAAGTCTTTGACAAGTCAAAGACAGGCAGGTCCAAGTCAAGTCTTGAGTCATCTGCTTGGAGCTTCAAGTCATTTCAAGTCTTTAAACCAAAGTACCAAATATAGCTTAGAATTTTGCAATTTATATGAATTTTAAGATAAATTGTACTTAAAAAGTCATGATATATTTATATATATGTATTTATATAAGACTTGTAGAAATGCTATTTTTTTCTTTTTAAATGTCTTAACAAAATCTTATTGTGAATCTTTACAGTCATAGGTCAATAGAAAGAATTCAGATTTAAAAGAACGTATTTTTATATACATTAAAAAATGATTTTGACATGTAGTTCTCTGTAGTTCCCTCTGTTTTACTGTACTGTATATGTTACTGCATAGTACTGTGTATTACTGTAGTACATGTGAGGATACCATATCACAGCACTGCATTTATCACCTGAAAAGAGGAGAAGGATCAAGTCTTCTCAAGTCACAGGGCTCAAGTCCAAGTTGAGTCCCAAGTCGAGTCCATTTTATCAAGTCAAGTCTCAAGTCCTGAAAATATTGACTCAAGTCTGACTCGAGTCCAAGTCATGACTTGCAAGCCCACACCTCTGGTATTAAACCTTTCTATCCAAACCTGATGAAGTTACAGGTCAGATCTGTGGAGAGCATAGACTGTATAAAAAGTGGACTAAGCGAGTGTGACGTGACAAAGCGTGACAAAAAAGTGATGGACCCTCAACCGAAAACATTACACAGTGCACCTTTAAGCCATATCATCTGGCCTTAATATAAAACATGAATCGGAAAGCTGTCAGGATGCAGTTTTTCAGTCGGTGGCTGTCCAGAGGTTTCAGAGATAATACACAGATGTCTTTTCACCATTTAGCATCATGACTCCATCCCACCGTGTGCTTTAGACTTACATGCGTTTTGGGAAGATTTATATGATGGAAAAACAGTTGTGGAAAAGACAAAACTCAAAAGTTTCCTGGCTCTAGACATGACTGGAAATGCTTGAATGTTTTCATGTTTTCCAATAGCTGCTGTGTGACTGGCTGTTTTGCTCAAATCATGTTGCACAAATAATTATGATTACGTTGATATCTGAGGAAATGGAATAATGGTTCAAAGTTACGGTTCACGGAGAGGAGGAAATAAGTTGGGTGATTGGGCTGCCAGATTGTTTGTTCTCAGTTCTTTCCTTCACTGGATTCAAAAGCTTGTGACAGGGGAAAATCCACAATTACACAGCGTATGTTTGTTGGAATAACAGTTTATGTCTGATGTTATGGAATATCATCTCTTATAGGTCAACACACCACTGATCTCATTTTGGTGACCTTGATTTGTTTAAAAGTGGATTTACTCTACTCTGTACTATATATTTTCAACCTTTTAGATTTGAGTTGCCAATGTGTTGAATTTGTTTAAAATATTTTAAACTGATCCACTGTTAACTTTGTTTGTTTTTTTGGTCAGTTGTATGCAGCCGGTGATTGTTTCGTTCACATTTTGTATTTCGTTTTTATCGTCTTTTTTTGTGACCTTTATAATGGTGAACTATGTAACATTTCTAGTGGTGGACCACTAATATTTGTCTCCATGGAGATTATTATCATTATTGTTATTATTGCTTTGCCCTATGGCATTTAAAGGTCCAATATTACACAAAACTGACTCCTGTGAGCTTTCAGAAATGTTGGAATGTTGTTACCTCATCAAAAATATACCTGGAGTTTTGTTTTGTTTCATTCTTTAACAATAAGGTTGCTGCTATTAGAGCAAATTTACTGTGTCTTCACTTGTGTTTGCTTTTAACGTTGCCCTAACTGCACAGTGCTCTGCTGTTTTTAGTCAATTTGAGCCTGTGTCACTGTCTGTTGCTCACAGGGTTAGTTGACATATTAAAATACTCGTCCTGCCCCACAAACCCAGTCCCACCTCACTTTTAAAAAGAGGTCCTTACGTTAAGGAGATCATCAGTAGCAGTCTATCTTCTGGCATTATCCCTTTTTGTAAAATGACTGTTGTTGAACCACTGATCAAGAAACCTGGACTCGACCGTACAATTTTGTCTAATTAGCAACCAATTTCCAAACTTCCTTTTGTGACTAAAATTTTAGAGAAAGGTGTTATTGCACAGCTGCAGCCTTTTTAGATGCAAATTGAACTTTAGACACTTTCCAGTCAGGCTACAAAGTGTTTCACAGCACTGAGTCTGCACTTTTAAAGGTTTTTAATGAGCTGCTTTTAATGACTAATACTGTTAATCCTGCCATTTTAGTGCTTTTAGACTTGACTGCTGCTTTTGACACAGTTGACCATGCAACTCTTTTAAAACATCTTGAAGACTGTGTGGGTGTCAGGGGGACCATCCTGGACTGGTTTAGGTCATACCTATCTGGGCGGTCCTTCACCGTAAGGCTGGGGGACTCCACCTCATCCTCTGCTCCTCTGGACAGTGGAGCTCTCCAAGGCTCAATTCTTGGCCCAGTGCTATTTCGGCCAAGAATTTGGGTACCTCTTAGCCTTGTACCTCCTCCTGCTTGGTGAGATCTTTAAAGGTTATGGCTTGTCATGTCATTTTTATGCCAATGACTTAAATGTATATGCCAGTTGTTAGAGACAATCATAGCAGCCCCTTTACACCCCTTATTGATTGTCTAAGTGACGTCAAGGCTTTGGTTAACTCAGAATTTTTAAAAACTGGGGTCATATTTTTTGGTTCTGACAGCTCCCTTGTCAACTTGGAAACCTTAAAGGATCATGTCCATCTCGTAGTCACCAGCCGTGGCATCATCCAAGACAGTGATTTTAAATTTGATAAGCAGATAAATGGCGATGTTTTATCATTTGTGGCTTTTATCCAAAGTCAAACCTTTCTTATCCTTTAATCTTTGTGAACAGGTCATGCATGCTTTTATTTCATCACATCTGGACTACTACAACACACTTTATACTGGCATCTCTCAAAACTCACTTTCCTATCTGCAGTTAGTCCAGAACTCCGCGACATGACTTTCAACAGGAACCAAAAAATGAGAACATATCACACCAATCATTGAGTCTTTGTACTGGCTTCCTGTTCAATTTAGAACTGATTTTGAGATTTTATTGAAGCTCCAGCTCGTGGTGCCTAAGACGAAACTTAAACCAGAGGGGACAGGGCTTTCTCTTTCATTGGCCCTAAGCTCTGGAACGCTCTGCCCCCCACGTCCAAAAAGCCCCCAGATTTGAATGTTTTAAGTCTCTTAAAATCCACTATTACTCTCTGGCCGCGTGAGTTGTGTGGTCCTCTGTGTCTTTTATTTAATTAAATTAAATTTATTTATTTATTTATTTTTAGCTTTATGCATTTTAACACTTTTTATTTATTGTTTTTTTAAATTTATTTATTATTTACTTTTATTGTATTAATTTGTCTGTGCAGCACTTTGGAAACATGACACTAAAAAGTCATGTTTCCAAAGTGCTATATGTGCATATGTAAAGTGCTATTTGTACAGTGTATTATGTGCTATATAAAAATTGGATTGGATTGGAGTTACCCTTTATTATTAGTCTGTATACTTCTCCAAAGTGGTAGTTTTCAAGTTAACAGCTACCTTTTACCTTTTGTTTAGTAGAGATTGGAAATTCCAGGGCTGAAGTTGCCTAAATTGTTAGTGAAGGTGTGTGGAGTTTAAAAACACAGTGGAGCATTTCCTGTTTTATCAAATTATATCATAAGGTTTCAAGGAGTGTTATCTGTTTGAGAGAAGAACTAAATATGCAGGGTTTGTGTGTTACACATGTGTGATTGAAACAAAACTTGACTCCGGGTATATTTGTGACGAGGAAATAACATTGTAACATAAATCAGAGAATACAGTAAAATGGACTCATTAACTTATCTATTTAGATTGTATTAAATGACAGGTTTTTAATAATTAATGATAGTAACATACCTTTTAAAAACATGCCTTCATTGATTCATGAACTGGTTCGCCTCTCCACAGATCCGACCTGCAAGTTGCCCTGATGGTGTCAACTTTCTTGTTGACTTGTCTCCATGAAAATGATATATACTATAAAATATTGCAGCCAAAACAATTACTTATGAAGAGAAACAGGAAGCAGAAAAGTTACACAGTTCACCTTTAAATCAACATCGTACTCAATATTCGGAATCTAGTGTGGGTATGACTTTGCTATAATTAGTTTTACTCTAACACTTCTCATGTGATTTTTCTTGTTATAGGTTTATCCTGGTGTTCAGCTGCCTGGTCCTCTCTGTGTTCTCCACTATCCCTGGTCACCAGGAAACCTCCTCCCGCTCTCTGCTCATTCTGGTAAGAAACTGGACAACCGCACGGCCAAAACCACTTCCTACAGAGCCTGCCCATGTTTCCAAGCCATTCATTTTGGACATTTCTCAGACCAACATTTACGTGTTTTAGCTCATTGTAAGTCATTAACCGATATGTCAAACCTGGGAGTTTAAGACGCCAGAATGTAGCGCTAAATACACAATAGAAATTAATGTGAGTGTGAATCTGTCATAGCCCAGTGACTGTCCAGAGTGCACGCCCAGGAGAAGTGGTGGAAACTACATGAAATAAGCCAACCAAATGTTCAAAAGGTCCTGGGAAAGTTATAATATTCTCAGTTTTAAAATGTGAATAAATAACACTTACATGCACACACATAATTATACTACAGGATCATGAGGTCACTATAGCGCCAAGTTGAGGGACATGTATTGCTCATGGGTCATAGTAGGGATCAAGGGATCAAACCACCAACCTTTGGGCAGTTCAGGAATAGCAAAAGTAAGATGACTGAGATATTTTTTACTGCAGACCATCCATGTTTGGACAATTCATAAAGTGCCACATTCAAAAAGTGCTAAAGGCATTTTGAGACAAATTACTTAATTTTGTTTTTATTTCTATTGTTTAGTCACTGCTCTGATATCGTTTGATATCGGGTATCTGCAGATACTTAAATTCAGTTTCAGAATCAGTATCAGAAATGAAAAAGCTGAATCGGTGCATCCATAATTTAGTATGGATTTTATGAAAAAATTACTCCCTGGTGAACTCATATTTAAATAGCTGATATTAATAAACACATAAAATAGTACTTTCAAAATGTCTGACATCTGAAGCAAAGGGTTGGGCCTGGGTAATATTTAGATAGGAGACATCTGGGACTACCAGGTACCAAAGGGGAGCAGTGCATATTATCGATGTGTCCTTTGGTAAATGTGTTTGTTAAAATGAATGTGGGACAACATAATGGAAATTAGTCGAGTGTTTACAGGATGCAATATTAATCTTCATTAATATTCACTGTCCCAACCAATAAAAGTAAATAATAATAAAGTTAATGAAAAATCATATGCATTATTTTGATTATTTGAGATTAAATAAATCCTGAAATAAGTGTTTTGGTTAGTGCAGAGTCAGACACAGGAGGCACTTCATTATCTTTCTTCATAAACTTTCTATTCTGCAATTGATAGGAAACACTGATAAGATAAAGCTCTGGTGAAAGTTCATTGACATCACAGCCTTAAATGGCTCTAAACTATTGATTTAGAGATTGATTTACTATTAAAAATCTAAACTCAATTCTCATTACTGGATTAGCTCTTAGACACACCCTGTAACAGAATACATTTCTCATAATATACCCTATTAACCATTTTATGAAATGACTTAAGTGACATCCATAGTGTCCATCTACACAGCTTTTACTTATGTTATATTTATGTCAATAAAAGCATATAAATGTTTTGTTTGCTAAATGGACTAAGCTAATTAAAATACTAATGGAGGCTGAGTCATTTCTTTAACAGGGCACATCATAACACTACTGGACGACTTTCTCCGAAGTCATTGAAATAAAACATTATAGTTATAGTGGTTTCTGTGTATTTTGTTCAATATTAACCATTTATATGTGTTTTTCTGCAGGAGTTTGTGATGATTGTGGTCTTCGGTCTGGAGTATATTATCCGTATTTGGTCGGCCGGATGCTGTTGCCGTTACCGAGGATGGCAGGGCCGCCTACGATTTGCCAGGAAGCCTTTTTGCATCATAGGTGAGTTTTATATTCAGCCATTCAGTCCCAGTCCTGAAAAAGCAAAATGTAATAATAAAGCAAATGTACTGGTTGTGAAATAAAACTTAAACTTAATAAAATGCTGCTAACATAATTTACATAACTCAGATAAGCACGTAGTTGTAATAATAATAAAGTATAGAAATGGTTGTAATGGTTGGTGGTGTGATTCCAGCTCCCACAAATGCATACTCTCCTTGTGTCCTTTGGCAATGTCTGTGTACACTGGTGTATGAATTTTCATGAATGAACCATTGACCATTTACAAAAATTTGACATTTCTTAGTAGTTTTAGAGTTGTCTTGATCTAGGCCTATGTCAGAACTAGACTTGAACAAGCCTAGTAAATAGTAATACTAAAGAAACTAACCATTTTCTGAGGTATTGAAGAACCTTTCACTTTGTATTAAAATCAAGTTAGAAATTTTTCTGTAATATTGTAACACTGTTTACAGTATAATGGCAGGGAAATTGAGATGCTGCACAATATGAGATTAGCGTTTTTTGTGTTGTTCAATGTCACAGCACAGCATAAAATCACTTCCAGACTACTACAATTTTCTGAATGCCTCTCTCAACTCTTAACCCTCATTTGAGACTGCTTATTGTCCTGTCCAGTTCATCTTATGGTTGACAAATCTGTTCTATAAGGCACACTTTTATTGCATACAGATTGTACTTGTCTATAATGCATGGATTTTAGTTTTATTCTGATTGATTTGTTTTGAGGCCCTTGTGACCAGTGCACTGTATTTGCCCTCTGCCTGAGCATGGTTGTCCTCTCACTCAATGCAATTTGATGTTGGACGTAAGCGCGGTCAGTTTGCTCCTGTCATTTCCAGTTGTGGTCAGAGCTCATAAGAACACAGTGCATTTTCATAATAGAGTTGTTTTAGCAGCCTTTGATTTCTTTTCCACTGTTTAGACATGGATCTTGTCTGTTCCTTTGTGGAAACTGCTGCAGTGAGTTTTTATGAGGTAAACTGGTCTTGCTCCATCCCACGCACTCCCACATCAATCGCTGTCAGGAGATTGTTTGAAAAGAAAAGGTGAGGGAGGAAAAATGTACCAAAAGCTTTATAGCAGATTTGATATTTCCGACTTGTGTGAAGTCAGCCTCGTTCATAACATTTCTATATCAGGTCAAAACTGATACATTGTTTAGTTAGAATGAGGAGGGTCATAGGGTTCATAGTCATGTTTCTTTCCATTCTGCTTATGTTTATGATTTACATGTCAACCTCTTGTCAGGGTTTGTAGATCAGGGTTGAAAATCAGACATAATTTTTATTTAATCGAGTGCTTAGCATTTAAGAATAACTTAGATTTAAATGCTCATTTTCTTTTTCTTTTTCATAGTTTGAAAACTAGGGTAGTTCACACTTGCACATATTACATTACATGTGAGACTAAATTGGGAGTAAACCAGGACTAAACCAGGACTAGACCTGGACTAGACCTGGACTATAAGAAAACAAAAATAAGCAAGCGCTTAAATCAGGACCAAACCAGGATAAGTGTAAAGCCGCCCCTAAATATTTTCCTTAGAAACAGTAGATTAGACCTCTACATGGTATTTTTGTACTAGTTAAGCAGGATTCAGGATTTGCACACACATGACACCAGAATTGAGTCTAAAAACTAAACCAAAATTCAGTCAAAGACTAAACCTGGACTTAAATTTGATCTAGAGTTACTAAACCAAGACTTGAACAGAACCTACATCAAGTCTACATCAGGACTGAGGGTTAACTTGATTTCATCTTCCAAATTTCGTCAAAAATCCTCAAAAGGCGCCTATATACAGGAAACCCAAAAATACAGCAATATTTCTATTTTTTTAATGAGTAATTTCCGTTCACAATTATTCACCATTCATAAAACTCCACTGGTCCCTTGCTTCTCATTAATCTGTTTACACAGCGCTGTGATCCAAAATAATCAGCACATTACAGAGGTGCTAGACCTGTAAAATCGCTTTGCTAGAGGGTCAAACTAAACTACTCTGATTAAAATAGCACTGAAATTCATAACATGTTTTTCACAGATCCATTCAGACAGACTTTGCACTGAAAAAATATTGTAAAACGATGATTATCTATACAATAAAACCACCCTCAGCTTTGAAGTGTCCAACTATCACTAGTTCTAGTTAACTATTGGTTTTGCCTTGACATTTGTGTTACTGATAAATACGAATAATCACATCTAACAAGGCGTAGAAGCAATAATAGATGGTAGCTCTTATTAGGGTTGAGGTAACCTTTTCATTTTACCAAAGGCTGAATACATTTCTCCCCTGGCTCCAAATTGAGAGCTTGTTCTGTATCTGAAAAATGGGTCTAAAATTTTAATATGTGAATGACTCATAGACTAAGGCCTGGTGGAGAAATTCAGTGGGAAGTGGGAATCCTTAGGCAAAAATAAATTGCTACCAACTCGAGTGCTAAAAAGTGTGGAGCTTTGTTGCAGCCAGGAAATGTAGATGCCAAATTAATTGGTAATGAAGAGTGCTACAATGTGTTGGAGATATTGGCTGGAGCATTTTTAATAATATTTGATTAAATGTATGCTGTACTTTTTCTCTGTAGCTTTATTTTTGGGCAAGAGAAGAGAGCCACTTCTTCACTTAGTTCACTACAGCTTATCTATGTTTGATAATATAGACCAGTCTCTGTGACTTGTGGCAATTAAAGATCTGTTTTGAATATTAAAGCCCATATTACACTTTCTGATTTTCTGATCAACTCTGTTTTAATGTTTCCTCATCAAAAACATCCCTGTAGTTGCATTTTGTTTCATTCACACATTCATGCAGATTCTGCATATTTAGTTCCACCTTGTGATGTCATGTGGTAATACAGAAAGTGATCCACTGTGCTTTAAAACCTAAACATCTTCACTAGAATCATTTGAATAATTTCAGCCCTGGAATTGCCAATTTCCACTGACCTAAAGGTAAAAGGTAGCTGTTAACTTGAAAACTTCCGCTTCAAAGTAGAACCGAGCTTTTTGAGCTTTGGAGGTAGATAGGCTAATAATAAAGGATTACTCAACTCTGTGCATGCTTTTGAGGAGGCAACAGCATTCTACAATGGCCTAAGGCTCACACGAGTCAGTTTTGCATAATATAGGACCTTTAAAGGTAGACTGTAAATTTTCTGGCACCAATGTGTTTCCATGTAGTTGTTATTGTATGGTATTAAAGTTACTTTGCATTTATTCAACTGTACTGGCCTGTGTCATCACTTGCTTGCCTTCATGCAGATAGAAGTTTAATGCCATACTGTGGAATATTCCAGAGCAGAACAATAACTCCTTTATGTTGACAAACAGGTGGCGGACATTCCACCAGAAAAGTAACATGGTGCCCCTTTAAGGCTTTATGGACTTTTGCTCCAGTTTTTTTTTTTTTTTTACATCACTAAAAATGCTCTCTTGTGACAATGCCTCCCACATAGTGACTGTAATAATCCCAATTTAAACCATGGAGCTCTGTAAGCAGCTGATTGTCCGCGGCAGCTCTTTAAAGGTCATTTAGATCATTTAAATGAAGCTTTTTGTGTGTGTACATGTGTGTGTGTGCGTGTGTGTGTGTTTGTGCAAACATTCCCATGTGACTATAAGAAACAAAACAGCACCTTTAAAACAAATGACTGCAGACCCTGTGTTAGTCCCTGGAGCAGGGCCTCTGTAAATGTATGAGCAGAACCCAGGTCCATAACTCTAATTCTAAGTTGTAATGCTGCTCTGATTTCCCCGTTGGCCTCATTCATCTGAAGCCTGGTTTAAAGGATAGGAGAGATAGACCACTGTATGCTATGGCTAACAAAGGCTTAACCATGACTGACCTTACAGGAATGGCAGTGTATACTAGATATTGATTTCAAATATATAGAGATTTTAGTTTTAATTCACTGGGTATGCATTGTCATGTTAATTGTCAGTTTAACTCACAGGACCCATTTCTATGCTGAGTTTACATGTTTACGTGCGTTGGTGGGTTTCCTCCAGGCACTCCGGTTACCCCTATCAAACCTAAACATCCACCAAAGGCACAGTCCTCCAGTTAAAGTAGTTCTGACCATAGACTGTATGAAGAAGTGAGTGAGACATAGCATTCGGCTCCAGTCAAATGAAGCTCAAAGGCTAGCAGTTGTGGGGAAAATTTTGAGTTGGTAGTTAGAAAATTTCAGAGGTGCACCTCGGTCGAAGCAGACTCTCTGTGTCATGATGCACAACCATAGATTGAGCTTTTCCTGATGCCTGGGTTTCTTTTTTTTTTTTTCATCAGCACTGGAGTTGTTGGCAGCAGCAGTCTCATCTCTCCATGTAAGATGATTCCACCATCTCCGCTCAGTGCTTTCATGATTCTGAATTTTAGGATTGGGTCTGGATCTGCCCTTTTTCTTAGGGAAAGAATCATGTGCATTTCTAGGCCTTTGGTTCTAAGGTCCCCTGGGAGCTGGAGATGCCTGGGCTGGTTCTGCATTCTCCAACCTTTTCTTGTTGCGTCTCTTTTTTTGAAGGAATTTCCCATCCATCATCATCTCCATTGTCCACTCATGTCAACATCCTGTGGAGACCAGGCCATGCTTATCTGTGCTGTCTTCTCTGTGACAGGACAAATGTAGATTTCAGGTTGAGGAACCTGCACAGAACTTGCTCAGGAGAATGGCATAAAGCAGCTTCAGCGAGCTGTTTGGATGAATGTTTCCCTCTGATCATTATAATGCTAGATCTTTTCTGGTTCTTTCTTCTTTCCATTATCTTCAGTTTGTTATTATCAATAATCTTGACAATAAGTTGCAAGTATTTGTAGTGTTAATAATTGGAGACTTCTGCTTCTCTGTTTGTCAACAAGTGCGTCAACTATGGAATGACCAAAATCTGTCTCTTATCTCACAGATATAGTTGTGGAATGTCACGTGACTTCATCCTTTTTTAACAAAGCTTAATTATCATGAATAAGGTGCCGT